CCAAAGCCATGTTTGGTTATCACAGAGGGTGCAGATCTCCCAGCTCAGCCTCCTCGGTCCCAGGCCCTCGGGGCCAGCTCAGGAACGGAGGGAATTAATTACATTTTTCCCATCCCTTCTTTTAAAGTACGGGAACGTGCCGCAGCATCCCGGGGGAGGGGGTGGCGACTGGAGGATGTGGAAGTGGGGCTGGCACGGGGCTCCCATGGCCCCCACCCCCGAACCTGCGAGCCTCTCCCCAGCGGCGGAAGGCCAGTGAGGCTGGCCCCTTATTGATTTAGTCTGGTGGAGGCTGGGACTGATTTAGAGCAGAGAGAGGAAGGGGCTGGGGGTAGGCGGGGGCCACGGCGGGTGGGGGGAGAGGAAGGAATGGCTGTCACTCAGCCTGATGGACAGCCCGGAGATTTGCCTTCAGATAAAACCTTACAGATGTGGAGGTCGGTATTGATTTTGAGTTAGTAACGGTAACGTACCAAGAAGTAATACATTAGTGAAAGCAAGGTCACCGGGAAAAAAGTAAAACCCACCGGGGGAGAGGCCTTAGCATTCTTGAGGGGGATGGATTACCGCATCAGACTAGGACTTCCTCAAGTTCAAAAGTTTGCAGGCCCCAGACCTCAGCTGGGCCCCTAACCATGGGCAAATGCTTCCTGCTTCTGTGGGCAAATAAGGAGTCCCAGGGGTCCATGAGTCAGCCAGAGGCTGGCGAGGGCCACTGAGGCCTGCAGGGCTCCCCACAGTGGGTTTGCCTGGTCCCCATGCTCTCAAGCATGTCTCTTGCAGGTAAGGAACACAGCTAGGAGTCAAGGAGATCTGGATTCAAATCCCACTTCTGCCGCTTGGTGGCTGTATGATCCCCGGTGTGCTTTTTCACTTCCCCATGCCTCAGTTTCCCCACATACATTGTAGGGGTGATGATAGCCTATTTGCTTGAGGAATCCACACTCCCCCACTCCCATCTTTCTTCAGCTGGGTTCTGTCCCATTTGCTGGCAAGCTGCCCAGAGATGGAGGGTTGAATGAAATGGAGGCCTTAGACTGCCAGGCTGCTGGTGACTCTGGGAGAGAGTTAGCAGGGCTGTACCCCTCTTCCCACCTATCCCAGATGTGGATTTGATTTGATGTTCCAGGGCAAATCCCATTGAATAAATCCCATTACAGGAAAAGCTCTCTAAGCCTGAGCTGATTCTGAGCTGTCTGTTAATGGCCCCACATCCAAGTCCTCCTGAGCTACTGGGCACCACACAAGCCCCTCTGACAAAGGACTCCAGGAAGCCTTGCAGCTCCTGGGATTTTCACTCTCAACATTCACCTTGTAACATGACCCCTGGGCCTAGACCTCACTGTCCATCTAAAGTAAGAAAATTGCTGCTCATCCCTGCAGCGCGTTCCTGCCTCAGGACCTTTGCACTTGCTGAGTCCTCTGTCTGGAAAGCTCTTCTGCTGTATCTTCCCATGGCTGGTTCTTTCTGCTCTTGCTGGATATCACCTGTTTGGGGAGGTCTTGCTTAGCTACTCCATTTACCCTGCTTACTCCTTTCTTTGCCTCTCTCTAGCACTTATAAGTATCATAAATTATAATACTTACTTGTTCATGTGTTTGTTGTCAGCCTCCTTCATTAGGCCGGTGGCTCCAGGAGGGCATGGAGTTGCTAATGCCCATCGCTATACCCTCAGTGCCTCACTCAGTGTCTGGCACTTAATAGGTGTTCAATAACTATTTGTGAAGTGAATATACATTAATTCAACACAGTATTTTCCATCTCATAGTATGTAGCAGGCACAGCATAGGCACCAGGTCTGCAAAGACAGCTGAAGCACCATCCTATCCTGCTCTGAAAGAGCTCACAGTTTAGCCCTACCTCCATCCTGGCATGTGTAACACTCTGTGAAATATTTGTTGAATGAATAAATGAAGGAAGGAAGGATGTCTTCAGCAAACACTGTATCGTTTGGTGCAGTTGAAATGTAAAGGGCAAAGTAGGAAGGTATGGGAGGAGTTAGGACGGGCAGGTAGTGTCTGATCACAAGAAACCTTGGCCCTGTTGACCTTGGAGGTACTGAGGAGCCACTGATAATTCTTGAGTAATGTAGCTAGATTTGTGGCAATTCTCCAAAGGTCTCTGTTTTGCAGGATGAGCACTGGGTCTATGTGCAGCTCCCAGCGCATCCAACACATGCTCGTAGTCTCCTAACCCCTGCCCCATCCCTCCCCTCCCACTCCATAATCTGTTCTGGGCTTGGAACCCTGGTGGTATGCGAGAGGAAGTGTTAAATTGGGGTCCCACCAGGGCTGACAAACCCTCCTTAGAGTCTCCCCACCCCCTCAGTTGTCCTTCTGCAGGAAGGATGTGGAGCCTGTATGTTTTCCTGAGCCTGAGACTATACTTGGGGGCCAGGCCTCCTTTGAGGGGGGAACAGGGTTAGAGTTTGTGGGGGGAGATTGGGAGGAATGGGATGAGCAGCAATTTTCTTACTTTAGATGGACAGTGAGGTCCACGTCGGGAACTGGGCAGGCACCTGGAAGGGAGCGGGTCCTCACGCTTGGGGCAGCACTAGATTCCCGAGTGGGCCCTGAGCTCTCCCCTCCCGCCCACCAGCCCCCCTCAGCAGCCAGAGTAGCACACAGTCCACGGTGGCAGAACCCCTCCCACACCACCCCCTTCACGGGGTCCCTCTCTCTGCCCACCCAGTGCTAGGTGGGCCTGCCATGACCGAGGCCTCTGGAGCCCATTCAGGGCTGGGGGAGTTTGGGGATCCCCCGTTCAAAACAGTGCTGCTGCGTCAGAACCTCTCCGGCCCAGACTCGCTCCTTCTTACAAACCCTTCCCTGGGTATCCCGGCCATTTCTGCGGAGTTGACACACCAGGAAGGCCCACCTCAGCTCCACCAGCTGTGGAGACAGAGACCACCCCCAGCAGGCCCAGCACCCTTCACTCCAGCTCAGGAGTGGTTGGAGGAGGGAAAGGATGGAGGTGGGGTGGCCCTCATGGCTGAGGCGGAGGGCTGGGGCCATTGAGGGAAGAGTCGGGGTGCTGTGCCCATGCCATTCAGAGAAGCCTGCTCTCCCGTTCCAGGTAAGGGACCCCAGCCCCACTCACCCTCACCAGCGGTTTCCTGGGAATAAATTGCCGCTGGCCAGGAGTGAGGCCCTCGTAGGGAGTCGGAGGCCCAAACCTCATCCTTGAGAGCCAGTCTTGACGTTATCGGGTGAGTGGGATCAGACCAGGGGGACCCTGAACTGCTCTCCCTCGCAGACTATGAGATGTTGAGAAGCTGCAGCCCTTCGTGGGCCTGTTTCTTCATCTGAGAAGTGGGCCTCGTAGCTCCAGCACCCACATCTCCGTAGGGCCCTGGATGGGGAGTCACATGAGTTTGTTGCTAAGAGGAGGGAAAGGGAACGAGAAGGGGATGAAGCTTAGAGGCCCCAGGGCCGCGGCTGCCTGCGGGCCCGCCCTAAGCTAGGCTCTGTCTGGCCCCTCTCGTGCTCCCGACCCACCTCGGAGTTGGGCACCGTCATCATCCCTTCCTCAGGACTGGGGTTGGTCACAGAAGTTAAGGGACACGCCGAGGCTGCACAGCCAGGAAGTGTGGATGCCCAGTGGCTTCCACATCAGTGGGTGAGGATCCCGCATCTGTGCCCTCTACCCCAACCATGCCCTCAGTGCCTGTGGCAGGGACGAGTCAAAAATGAGAAGGTAGAAGTTTTCCGAAAATGTCTGGTCAGCCACAAGGTCATTGCTCATATGTCCGTGGCCTGCCTTCCCCCGAGGGGCAGGTGGGGAAATGAAAGGACAGTCGTGTGCCCAGCATGGATCACAGCATGATTCTTTAACTCGGTGCTGGGCAGATTACAGGCAAGGCTGTCCCCGCCTGGCACTGCAGCCTCCCTTCCATAGGGGTGACATCACCAAGAGGTCACCAGGGTCCTGGGCCCTGCAGGGCAACCCTGCAAGGACCTGCCCCTCCCTCCTGCCTCTCCATCCTCTCCCTGGAACTGGCTGGGACACCTGTGCTCTCACACTGCAGGGACTCTTGCTGCCTGCCCGGCAGCAGGTGTCACCTCCTCCAGACTGGCTGGGTCCCTACCTCTGGGCTCCCTCAGCCCCCTGAGCTGCCTCTCTCATGCCCCTTGTCACTTCATATCTTCATCTGTTCTAAGTTGCCTGCCCGGCCAGACCCAGTCATTGCCCCTGCTGAGGGCAAGACCATGGCTCTTCCTCTGAAGACCCGGTTTGAGGCCGGACCACAATCACTGTCAATGCATGTTTGTTGAATGAATAAGTGAACACCAGGTTCCATAAGCTGAGTCTCTAGAGACAAACCTCATCTTGTCCGTCTTGGTTGTCAGCACTGATGGTGAGTTCCTGTTTGCTGAACCAGGCCAAGCAGGGAAGGGGTGATGGGCACAGACATCTGGAGCTACCAGAATCAAAGAGTTCGTTTGAAAGCATCGTCTTTGTACGTTGGTGTCGTAGGGGCAGAAGCTCACAGTCCGGAGCAGAGCAGGCCTAGGAAGGAATGGCAGGAGGTCGGAGGAGGCGTGTAGGGGACGATGCCAGACAGATCCAGAGTCCTCCTCTAACCTTAGGTTGGAAGGCGGGGGCATCCCAGTCTGATTTGGGAAGGCACAGTTCCTTGTCCTGGGGGAGGTCCCTGTCTGATGGGGGCACATAATTAGTTAGTTCAGTCATTCATTCATTTATGCATATATGCATTCATTCAGGGCACGAGGCCCTGCCCTGCCCCCTAGAGCGCTCAGTGGAGGGAGACTCCATGGGTCAGGACCCAACCAAGAGAAACCACTAACCTTCTTACCCTCAAGGGCACGCCACCAGGTACTCCAAGGAGCTCGGTGCTGGAAGAACCTCAAGGGAGCAACTCCAGCAAAGGCCTGTCCAGGGCCAGCCTGGCTTCGTCCCTGCACAGCCTGTGTCTGTGGGCCCGTCCTCTGAGCACCCCCACCTGCTACCTGGCGGCACTGATGGTCTGTCCCCGCAGGTGATGAGCATCCTGAGCAACCCCAGCGCTGTGCCACCACAGCCGCAGGCCGACTTCTCCATCTCCCCGCTGCACGGCGGCCTGGACTCGGCCACCTCCATCTCGGCCAGCTGCAGCCAGCGGGCTGACTCCATCAAGCCAGGAGACAGCCTGCCCACCTCCCAGTCCTACTGCCCGCCCACCTACAGCACCACCGGCTACAGCGTGGACCCCGTGGCTGGCTACCAGTACAGCCAGTATGGCCAGAGTGAGTGCCCGGGACCCTGGGCGGCCCATCCCCTCCCGGCCCGCACCCCAAGGGCTTCCTGCTGCTTCACAGAGAGCTGCAAGGTGGTGGTGGGGTGAGGGGTCCATTTCACAGATGAGGAAACTGAGGTCCAGACGGATGCACAGTGCTCCTGAGATGATACTGAGCAGTGCCCAGCGCTCATGCCACTGTTGCCTCAGAGCACTGCTGTCCCATAGAAACAGAATAGGAGCCACAGCATCATTCCAACATTCACTTTAAAACGAAGAATCAAATAGGAATAAACACATGGAATTATTTTTACTGACATAATTTATTTAACCCAGTATATTGAAAAGATGGTCATTTTGACACGTAGTCCATAGAAAATTAGCAAGGTAGTTTACATTTTTTTCATACTAGGTCTTTGAAATCCAACCCATTATAATTCAAACACTTGAGTTTTCATCGGAAATACTTGATTATGATTTATATTTCATAAAATTTGCAACTGAGAAAGTAGATGTACACACCCAAACTGTTCCAAATATACGGAAAAGATTCCCAACCACTAAACTAAATCCAATTTCAGTTTTTACATTTGAATTAGATAAAATTAAAGTGTAAAACTCAGCTCCTCCACTGTATAGCCACATTTCAGGTGCTTGATAGCCACATGTCCTGGTGGCTTCCATGTGGGCTGTTAGAGATCCTGCCCTTTCTGACCCCTGGGTGCGGAGGGCAGCTGTATTTCAGGCTCTCTCCTCTACAGCCCCCATCATCAGTCTTTGGTCCCAACTTTAAGCTGGTCTTATGTGCCACCCCAACCGCATCTCCTTGGCACCTTGCCTGGAGGTGGGGCTGGCAGACCCTCAGACCAACGGCTGCACAAGGCAGGCCCCGCCACAGCCCCCAGCTGCCAGCCAGGGCAGCAGGGCAGGCCCATAGCACAGGGAGCAGAGGTCACTGGGCTCCCCTCCTTCCCCACTGCCCTGCAAAGGCCTCACCTGCTGGTGTCAAACTAATCAGAAGGGTGTGTGGTGAGAGGGTGAGACCTCCAGGCCCGAGGGTGTCTTCTTCTGCCCCTACACTGCAGCTCTGCCCAGCCTCACTGACCTTTGCTTCCTGCCCCCAACACCAACCTTCTCACAGAGCCTTGGCCTCCACAGCTAAATGAGGGCCAGCTGTGGCGGCCTCCACCTCCCAGCTGTGTTCATGGCCCCTTCCCCGTATGTGTGTTCATATATGTGCATACGTGTATACAGACACGTATATGTGTGTGACATGCACATGTGTCATGGTATGTTACAGTTTGCACATGTGCCTGTGCATTGTGTATTTTAGCATACATGTGTTAGTGCACACATCCTTGTGTATAGGTGTGTGTATGTATGTATGTGAATGCATGAGTGGCACGTGGGTATATGTGCATATGGCTACTCATATGTTTAGTGGAAATGAGTACCTTATGTGCATATGATGTACGTATATGTTTATGTATGCACACACTTGGTCATGTAAGTATATTGGCTATACCACATATATACATGTTTAAATGTGCATTCAGGTGTGTACATGTGGCTGTCACGTGTGTTCCAGCACGTTTGACAAATGTGATACGTGTATGTCACTATGTGGATGTGGATAATAAATGTGTGCATGTGTACAGGTGTGTGTGTGCAAATGTGTGTGGTTGCATGTATATGTGTATACACATTTGGACATGTACAGCTTCTCAAATGTGTGTGAGGGTGTATACATTTTGGAGTATGTGTGTGGCCATGTAGACTGTGTGCAGTGTGTAAATATGGACACATGTATGCTTGAATTGTGCATTGTGTCCGTGTGTACCTGTGTATTGTGCATCTGGGCATATACGCATGACATTGTGTGTTTTGCTGCTCACGTGAATGTGTGTATACAGGGAACAAGTGTGTGGTGGTATGTAACACGTGTGCAGGTATGTCTGAAAGCAGAGTGCACACATGTGAATGCAGTGCTTCCAGAGGGGCCCAGGGCGACCCCCTGCCTCAGCCTATGTTCCCGGGCATGGAGCAGGACACACATGCTCTTGATAAAGAGTTTAGAGCGGCTCCAGTGGCAGCTGCCTGGGGCAGGCGTTAGTCACACCCGGAGCCCCATGCCCCACTCCAGGGGCGCCTGCCCAAGTCGGAAATAAAATTAACCCCAAAGTCAGCGTGGGGGCAGCAAGAGAGAGGGGATCAAAAGGAAAAGGGCCCAGGAGGCGAGAAGGGGGTGTTTGTTCCCCTTTAGCTCGGGAAAAGCTGGAAAAGCTGGCCGAGCGCTTTCCTCCTCCCCCTGTCCCTCTGTCCTCCTCTCCCTCCCCCTCTAGCTCCCACCTCCTGGCTCCTCCAGGGGAGGCCCAGTGCTCCTTCTGGGCCCTTCAGACAGGTGCCGATACTTGAATGTGCACCGGGCGGTGGTGTGGTCCTACCCACAGGGAATCCCAGCCCAGAACTGCCCCCCCCCACCAAGGTTGGGCTGTGAGGGTCCTGAGGGAAAGTCTGCTCCTCTGCCACCAGTGGGTGTGGTCAAGTCACCCTGTCTCTCTTAACCTCAGTATTGCCATCTGTGAAATGGCGGTCCGGGGATTAGATTTAGTTCCCTCACGGTTTTCCGTTGTACCACCTTCCTCACCTTTGACGTTCTGGGACAGCCCAGGCGCACATCATGCCCCCACTGACCACCTTCCTCATGTGTGTGGGCGACTGAATACACCTGTGTCTTGGTTCTCAGGGTCCACATGCAAGAATGCATGTCCCAAACCATCCCTGAGTATGCCCAGGTGCACCTGTCACCTGTTCACCTCTGTCCTGTGTGTGTTTAGCCATCAGACACTGGGCAAAATGCATGTACCTCATTTCTCAAAAATCCGGCCCAAAGTGGGTGTTATTTATCCTCAGCTTACAGATGTAAGATCTAGGCTCAGAGAGGCTAGGAACTTTCCCAAAGTCACACAGTAGGTGTATATTGGACTATAGGCCTCCTAACTTCAAACCCAGTTCTCTTTTGGCCAAACCACAAACTTGGATAAGACACTCAGCAATGATATATGCGTAGACTCACCTTTGTGGCGTTCATGTTCTCAACTGTGCATAGACCATGCACCTATGCATAGACAGATGCATACACACATTTATTTCTATGTGAGTATTCACTAATGAGTGAGTGTATTGTATACACAGTGGCGAGGTATCATTTTACAAAATGTATGTGTTTATGTGTCTAAAGGTAGGAGAATGACCATTTACCGAGCATCTACTATGGGATGCGAATTCCATCCTCATGGCCACCCTGTATTGTGTACATGGCTATTCCCACTGGACAGGTGAGGAAATGGATCCCAGAGAGGTTACTGGTCTGAGATCATATACCGATGTGTACAGAGCCACACTACAGCCCTGCCCCCAGAGATCCTAACTTTCAGGTGTGCATGGAATATGCAAATGGGCTAAACTCTTAAGCAGCGGAATCTGCCCCTCTCCCCGGGCCTCTCATATTCCCAGGGACACCTCCACAGTTTCCTTTCCTGCTCCTGGCCATCGTCTGTCCATCCGTCTGTCTCTCCTATCCCTGGAGGGGATGGGGGCAGGGGGAGCAGGGACAGGGCACACAGCAGATTAATATGGCCCTGGTGTTCCCAGAGGCCAGGGCAGTACTAATGATGGGGCTGATAGAACGCAGAAGTGTGAAAAGAATTTTAATAGATCTGACAAGTCTAATAAGAATTTGTGTCTAGAAGGGTCCTCCTCTGGGGCCGCAGGCTGACGAGACGCTGGCGGCTGAGATTTGTTTACTGGTTGGCATCACCGCCACATCTCCTGCCAACTCGCGATTAATCTAATTTGAGGCGTTTAGAGCCCAGGCGCGGGTGCAAGGCAGAGGAGGAGAGCCATGGAGAGACAGAGGGACAGGGAAGGCCATTGACAGGGGCCCTAATGAGGAATGTCACACCCGTGCCCTCACCGGCCCCAGGCCCGACCCCCGGGAAAGGCAGGCTCCGCAGCCCCCTGGTTGCCCTTGAAGTTGGCTGGTGTCAGTCAAGTTTGGCTTCTTGGTGTTTGCTCGCACACCTTGCCAGGGCCTGGGAAGCGCCTACTGTGCTTGGGCCGTGTCTCGTGGCTGGGAGAGGCTAAAGAGGGGGAGATAGGGTGGCTGGAGGCACAAACTTGGCCTCCTCCATCTCACATGCTGTGCATGACCCTGAGCCAGCCATCTTTCGGTGCCTCAGTTTCCACCTCTGTGAGATGGGAACAGCTGTAACCGAAGCAGGAGCTGCTGAAAGAATTAAATGAGGGCGTGTTTGCCGAGAACATAGCAAGTGCTCAATATGTTATGGGATTGTGCTTTGTAGTTCTCGGTCATTGTTGTTCAGACCACACCTTTCCACCCCACCCACAGGAAGAGGTGCAGAGGTCGGCATCTGGGATTGGCATGATGTGGAATGAGGAAGGGTGGGCAGAGCCTTCAGTGACTCCGGGAAGGTCACCCGCCTTGGCCATGTGCCCTTGGGCAAATCACTTACATATCTTGGAGTAGAAAATGGGCCAGTGAGGGCTTTGTGGTATAGAGCACTTCACTCTAAAGTGCTGTGCAGATACCAGCAGTTACTCTGTAGGAAGCTGCTGGGTGAAGCTTGGGAGGGTGGTTAGGAGCTGGCATCAGACCACCTGGGTTTGAATCCCTGGCTCCATAACTTTGGGCCATAATCTTTCAAGCTCTACCATCTCTCAGGGGGAGGGTCTCAATTTCCTCATCTGTAAAATAGGGATAACAATATCACCAGTCTTGGAGAGTTACGAGAACGCTGTCTCCCAGGAGGGTTTCTGGTCATCTCCAAGGGGCTCAGCCCAAGCCCGAGAGCCTGGGAAGCTGAGGAGCACAGGGTCCAGATTCTCAAACCCCAGGGCATTTGCATATCTTTTAGGAATCTGGTTTAGAGCAAGCTCTAGGAAAACTTAGCTCCTCCTCCTCCTATTTCTATTGTCCCGCTGAATATTAGGCATCCTCATGGGCCCCATGCTGGAGCTCAGCCAAGACGAGTTCCAACTAGCAGAGATGGTGCGGCGAGAGTCGCAGGGTCTGCTGAGGCCAGAGGTGGGAGATTCTCCCACCCCTACCCCGAGTAGGGGCAGGCCCAAGGCTGGACAAGTCTGGCCACCACCACCTCTGCCCTACCAGCTGGGAGCCGGAAGGCTGAGTGACCTCAGGGCCATCACCAAGGGGCTCAGCCCAAGCCCGAGAGCCTGGGAAGCTGAGGAGCACAGGGTCCAGATTCTCAAACCCCAGGGCATTTGCATATCTTTTAGGAATCTAGGGATCCATGCCCTGAGCCCTCTGTGCCTAGCATCTTAAAGCAAGTTTCTCATTTGAGCCTCATGAGAGCCCTTAAGGAGGTTGGAATTTGTTCTACCCACTTCACAGCCAAGGAAACAGGTCTGGAGAGGCAGAGTGATGTGCCCAAAGCCACGTGAACAGGAGAGAGTTGGGACTCTGAATTCCCCTGTTCACTGTTCCTTTCCTTCATGTTCCCATCAAAGGTCACATCTGCTTACTAAATCCCAATCCTAGGAGCCCAAGTCTATTGAGCTCACTGTGTACCAGGCACAGTGCTAACTACTTTATATGCTTTTACTCATTTAATTTTCACAGCAACTCTGCCACCTAGGTGCTATTCTCATCCCCATTTTACAGACAAGGAAAAGGCTTGGATAGGTGAGGTGATATGCCCAAAATCACACTTGAAAATTTGGCAGGTGTAGGACTAGAACCTAGGTCATTTGAGCCCCTAGGCAATACAGTCTCCTGTAGCTCAATTACTGATTCTCCCCATCTCGGTCCCCTGAGCCTTGCCCTTTCTCCAGGCCTGTCACCTCCTGGCTTCACCCACCTATCCTAGGCAGGAGACTCCAACTTTGGGAAGGCATGTCGAATGTTACAGGGTCCCTCAGTTGACAGGTGACAGAGAGGGAGTTGGGCCAGTCCTCATGATTCCTAGGGTAACACTCATTCCATCTTCCCCTCACCTCTGGGTGTGAGAGGTCCTGGGGTTGGGTTGGCCTCAGCAGGTGCCCGCTTGGAAGGCGGCATTCCTGTGCCTCAAGAGGCTTTGGTCACATAGCAAATCATTTGGTCAGGGCTGATTTCTGCTGTAGCCTCAGGCAGGCACAATTAGTACAGTCAAGACAGCACACTGGTCCAGTGGTCATACCTGTACACACATGTACACCAACACATGTACCTAACTTAGGTGAAACTCACCTGTGCACAGTTACCTTATACATGCAAAAACATACCCACTGTTCTCCTACTCACACAGGTGCACACAACTCACCCACTTCTGTGCACATGTACATGTCCAAGAACTGCTCATGTGTGAATATTCATGTTTGAGCTGTTTGTACTCACAGAGATTCTTGTTTCCACTGTTCCCGCACATGTACTCACCCTCACACCCTCAGCCCTTTCCTCTGGGTGACCAGAACCGCATGGCTGGAGGTGTCGGCTCCCTGCAGAGCAGGATCCCGGCTGCTCCTGCACAGACCCCTGCTGGTCACTTACAAAGGCTGCGTTGGCTGCTGGGTAGGGGATCTTGCTTCACTTCATCCATGAGGTGGGCCCAGGGTCCACAAAGGTGGAAGGACCTTGCCCTAATTACTACCGGGGCTCCATGGGACTCAACGGATGTCCCCATTGTGGACATATGTAGAGGTGTTTTGGAAAGGGACTGATTCTTCACTCAGCAATGTAGGTACCCTCTGTACCTCCCTACAGAACCCATGAGAGCTGGGCAAATAGTAAGTGTTAGGTAAATATTTGTTGAATGATTGTTAAACAGGTGAGGGATGGATGGCTGGATGGATGAATGGGTAAACGGGTGGGTGGATGGATGGGTGAATGAAGATATATGGATGGAAGGATACATGGATGGATGGATGGGTGAACAGATGGATAGATAGAAGAAGAGATGGAATAATGGGCAAAAGAGTGGATGGATGGATGGATGGATGTAGACCAGATGGAAGAAGAGGCAAAAAGAACCTCAGTTTCTAGGAGTTTCTCTTACTTTTCCAGCTGCTGTTGACTACCTGGCCAAAAACGTGAGCCTGTCCACACAGCGCCGCATGAAGCTCGGGGAGCACTCCGCTGTGCTGGGACTCCTGCCTGTGGAAACTGGCCAGGCCTACTAGGGCCTCTGGGGCGCCTGGCCCCAGCCCAAGTCCCAGCCCAACAGCTTTGATCCCTGAGCCTCCCAGCCTCAGTCCCTTCATTGCCCTGGGGTCCCAGGAAGCCAGGAAAGGAGCCCATTCTCTTCTATAGCCAGCCCTCTGGACATGTGCAGCCAGTCTACCATTTGCCCGTGGTCAGGCACCGGGAGGGACCCCTTGGAGTCTGCCCCTCCGCTCTCTCCCAGGAGGGTTTCCGGTCAGCCTGAAGCCTGCCACCCCCCCGCCCACCGCCACCACCCAGTCAAATCCTGTTGTGGCCTCTGTGCCTTCTCAGGCACGGAGATCGACGCTCACCCGGAATAGAGGACCTTGGGCACCAAAGGGGGTGGTGTCTGGGATGAGGTCCTGGGGCCCTTAGGACCCGACTCCGGTGAGTATCCCGGCCAAGGGTGCAGGGGGAGCTCACAGGGCTGCTCTCAGCAGAAAATGTTTGGGGCTGGCTACCCAGGTGGGTCAGAAGCACAGCCCATTCCTCCCCTAGACCCTGAAACTCCAGCTAGCCCTGGGGTTTTCCCAGGGGAATCACTCAAGAATTCTGAGGGCTCCAGGACCCTTCCCTCATACCTTTGCTGGGTGTAGGGGGAATCTGGCCCAGGCAGGGGTACTGGGAGGGCCAGGAATAGGCTCAGCCAGCGGGGCGGGGCCATGTGGGGATGCGAGGACACAGCCCAGGCATCAGGGGGCAGCAGTTCGTTTCTCTCATCTGCTGAATCAGATGGGACAGGGAGGGGATCCAGTCTTGAGGACACCTGAGTGAAGGGGCACAGGGCAAGCTCAAAAGGAATTTTTTCAACTGGGGCTCCCCTGCCTGCTGGAAGCAAATCTTTGCTGCCAAAGGCTTCAGCTCTATTCCTTCAAAGCTGCACCCCACTGAGGTTCTATTTCTCACAATGCCTCTGTCAGAGACCTGAGCCTTCCCCCTGGAAGCCCCACCCTCTGGGAAGGGGCCTCTGTCTACCTAGGAGTCGCTTTAGGCCGTTGGGGTGCTGGTCTCCCCTTGAGCTCTGGAGCAGGGTTCTGGGGCTGGTGGGGACTGCTTACCCCACAGACGACCACTTAATTCCCCTGGGCATGGGGGCTGGAAGTGGCATGTCTCTGTCACACCCAGAGTGACATCTTTCTATGTTGATTCACTCTTGGCAGTGAGACCTCTGCTCCTGAGTCAGCACAGTTGGGTGGGGGCAGATGTGGCCAGCCTGCAGGCCACCTCTCTGGGGCAGAGGGGCACCCCAAAGGCTCCAGAGAAGAGGGAAAAGCCGTTTTCCTTGGCGGCTCCAGTGGCTTCCCCAAGCTCCCTGCTCTTCAAGAGTTGAGACCTTTGGGGAATGGTTCGAGCCCTGACTGCACCTCCCGGGAATGGTTAACCACCTTCACCTATTTATCAAAATTATATTCATCTTCACCATCCCCGCCATTATAATCTACACTTGGATCCCCTTTATCAAGTGCTGCTGGGTAGAAGGCACTGTGACGGGAGGAAATAGCACTGAATCCACAAAGATCGGGTCAAATTGCTTCTCCCCACATGGGCAACGAGGTGACCTCTTTGCCCAACACATGCCTCTTGCCCTCAGCCAACAAGACATTCCGGGAGGGAAGGGTTGCTGCTTTGGGAGTCCGCCCGAGTTCCTCCCCATTGGGGAGCAGAGTTGGCAAGATGCTAGGACACGTTCCTGCATGGATATCACAAGCTCACCTGTTTCTCCTCTTCCGACTCAGTAATACCAAGGCTGTCCTGGACTATGGCCAGAGCGGCTTGTATCTCTGGCTTAGAAGAAACTTAATAACTGGGGACAAACAGACTCTTTGGTAGCCACCAACACCCAGCTGAGCACGACCTTGTGAGCTCCACCTCCACCCCTGGCCAGGTACACCCTGGAGTTGGGTCCAGAGGGCCCCAGGACCTCATCCCAGACACCACCGTCAAGTTCAGCCAAGGTTTCAACTGGAGCATCCACTACAGGAGACTCGGTTCTTCAAGCTCTGGACCTAAAAGAAGAATGTGTTGCCCCGTGGTGACTCTGTGCCTGTTTTTGTAGCTGTCACAGCCAGGAAGCTCTCCTTAAAATCAATCCCACAATCTTCATCCCCAGTCTTTCAATGGTCAATCCTTCCCCTTGGAGGCCTGGCTCAGAAATCACCCTTACACCCTCTGTTACCCAGGAGCAGGGGTCTCAGGCAGGTGACATCAAAACCACCCAGCCCCACCCCTGGAAGGTGACATTCCAGTGCTAGGACCAATCCCAAATGTCTTCCCCTTGTGGTGAAATGGGAGTAAACCAAATGATTTCTCATTACATCCAATTTCTATGGCATTCTCCCAAGCCATCATCTTGGTAGAAAAAAGGACTTATTCCCCCCAGGGCCCCAGCCCTCTCAGAAAGAGACCCTGACACCGACAGGTTTTTCCCTAAAACCCCATGTGTTAATGTGTCCAGCCAACTCAATCGATAAAATTCAGCCTTGTGTTGGCAGCTCAGAACTTCCCCAGAGAGAAGATGTGGAATGAGATGTACAAGGCTTCAAACGCTTGAGGATTGATGACAGCCTGAGAAAGAAGGCCTGAACCCCAGGAGCCAGGCCAACCCAGAAACAATCCCCATCCATCCCTGTAAATAGAGTCCATAGCAAAATAAGAGATGTTTCCTCCAATTTAGCACAAGTAGCTGTTGGTCTTACCTATGGGGGACGCCTCTTCTGAGCTCATTGTACGTTAGTTGGAAATGTGGTGATGTGCTGTTCGTTTATAGGAAGCTGACATTATATATATATATATATATAATATACATATATATATATATACACACTAAAAAAGGAAAGAAACCCCCCACAGTGTGTGTCGTGCTAGTGCCAGGGACCATCTGTAGGGATTTATCTGCATAATGCTGTTTCAAATTATACATTCCAGGCTCTATTGGGTTCTTTCATTTTTAACGCTTTGTTTTTTCATTTGGTATTTCTCTCGCTATAAAAAAAAAAAGGAAGTGATGTGCAAGCTACGCTTTTATACTCGTATTTCTTACTTGATTTACCTTTACTGTTCTTTTGCCAGAGGAACATGCAGGGGAAGAGCAAGAGGGGGAACGAGAGAGGAGAGAGGAATGGAGAGAGAGGTTTGCCCAGAAGAAAGGTGAGGTCGGATTGCTGACCTGACCGTGGCTTGAGGACAGGACAGTTCCCAGACTTTGACCGCTCCACCAAATCCAATGTTTTAGATGGAGCTGCTGAAGCATTCTGAGAGCGGATCCTAGACCTTGGGGAAACTCTATGATTGCCCACAAGGGCATCCCTGGGGCCTGTCTCAGGCTGATGTGATCGACAAGCTCCTGAATGCGCCCTTCACCACTGGACGCTTTTTGAGGTGGCCAAGTCTTCTCTCCTCCCCTCCTGCAGAGGCACCAAGCCAAGACCAAATTGGGGGACTCCAGATGCCATCTTGAAATGCTCAGAAACAAATGCATATTGAATGCTTTTCCTGTCAACTCTAACATTGGCCAATCCCCTACCCGGGACATACCTACGTAGCACTCTAGATCATTCCTTCTAGTAAATGCAACTCGGTTGCTTCTGTGTTTGATTGACTCACAGCCATTTCCCTCCATGTGGAGTGAATGTATGTGCATGAGAGTGTGAATGAGTGTGTGAATGGGGTCATGGGCCCCAGGATGTGTGTTTAAATATAATCGCACCATAATTTATTCAGCTATATGGAGTAGTAGACTAGAAAGAGAAACTGGCATTTGCTTTAACTACCTGCTTGTAAGCGCTTCCTCTGTAACTCAGGCGTAACTGTTATACATTAAAAGAAATTAAAAGCATTTCCAAGGTGCAGTGTACTCAATTGATTGCCACTATGTAGCTGCCCTGAAAGAGGCTGAGGGTTCAAGAAGCCCTTTAGCCTAACTTAGAGGGTCAGGGTAGAAACGGCATTTCTCTTGCCCTCTACCGAGTCACCCATGCCAAGCAGCTGGTAGATGTGTAGTGGGTGCTGAATCAATATTTGATCAGTGGATGCTGTTGCATAAGCGTGTCTCTGATGTAACCTCAGTTCTCTTCACCAGGACAAACTTCCTGCTGCCAAGCTTAGAACCTGCTGTGGCCCTCTGCCAGTACGTAGAATTTGGAAGATGGGAGAGAGCTCAGAGCTTACATATCACCTTAGAAGCAGAGCTCGATATGGGGATTCCTGGGCACGTGATTTATTGAGGGGGACCCCTCAGTAGAAATCTGTATGAGAGTGAAGGATGTTGAATGGGATAGGGGAAGGAGCTAAGCAAAGAGGTTTAACCTAATGTCCAGCTTCAACCTAATGCTGCAGGGAGCTCTGGACTATAAATTGTAGCACGGAGTTAGTCTCACGTGGAGGCCAGGGGACTGGCCCTTCATTCTGAAGTATCAGTTATTCACTGGCTGCTGGCTGCCCCTGGGGATGTGGGTAGGTAAGTAAAGGGTCTATGGGCTCAAGTATATCCAGTTAAAGTGGCTCCTATGGGCTGAGGGCAGTTCTCCAGAGGAAGGTACAGTAATAAGCCCTCAGAAGCAACATTCACATCAGCTAGAAGACAGTCACGCTGGCCCAGTAAAAGGCATCTGGGCAATCCCAGCAGCGTCTACCCGATACGTTCTCCTGTCTCTAAGCCAGGGTACCCATGTCATTCCAGGGTGCTGGTTTACTTGGATGACCTGAACAGGAAAGGGGCAAGGTAGGGGAGCTGCTGAGAGAATTGTACCTGAGGGATTGGTAAGGTGATCCTAGGGACCTGAATCTACCCAGTGCAGCCAAGTTCTCCAGGGCTGGACCAAGGGAGGTCCGGTCTTCCCAGGGTCTGAGACCCATTGGAGGGCTGCCCCAGCATCCTCCTCTGCTTAGAGTCCCTGCAGTGAGGTGAGCCCTGGACCAGCCCCTGCGGAATCCAGGCAGCTTATGTCAAAACCAGGGGTCCCAGCCATGTTCCAGCCCAGGTCTGTCTCCCCGCCCCCCAACTATGCATTCATAAATCAGGAGGATGGGGGTGGGAGGGGGTCACAATAACTAGTCAAGTTCCACTCTTAGCTCTGTATTTGACTGTGTGTGTGTCCTGAGATAATTTTCTCCCCATCTCATACCCTATTTCCATATGTTTTTAAACAGCAGGCTGAATTATCTCTAAGGATCTTCCAGATTACCTTGACAATAAACTGAGCCAACAGCTGGTCAGAGAGTGCCTGCCTGGATGGCTCAGAGTTGCCCATCACCAGTGCTGGAAAATAACACAAAGTATTGGGTGCTGTGATGCTAGGTTGCTCCCAGACACAGGCCTGCCCTTG